AAATCTTGCGGGCCTCTTGGGCCCTCTTGGAGCTATTTTGGTAGTCTTGGACGCCACCCTGGCCCTCTTGGAAGCCATCTTGATGCCATCTTATGCGAGAAAGCCGATAGGAGCCTCCTTATCCGCGCGGCTAGCGCGATCGGCCGAGACCCCACTGGGAACGTCTAAACCAGCCCAAACTTGTTCAACAAATTCAGCACTCCGTGCAGCCCTGCGGCAAGCCACAGGGAGCGGAGGGAGCTGGTGGCCTTCGGCTCTTCCCGCCGTCGCGCCTCTCGGGGGCTTGTGCGGATCTCGTTGGGGGGCCCTTGGAAGCCCCTCGGAGGCGGCTTTGGGGGTGTCGTGGGGCTTCTCGGGGACCTTCTGAGGCTTCTGGGGGGGCCCCTTTGAGGGCTTGCTGACTGTCTCGGGGCCCAGGATTTTGCGAATGGCGGGCCCAGGCCCTTCAGTACTGAACCCTCAGGGTTGAGGACGGAGGGTTCCAGGAACCTGCGGACTCTCCAACATGCGCCCCGCGGCATGGTGGTTGGTAGCAGAAAAATTTGTTTAGAACTGACAGAATTCCGTGCGCGCACTCGCCGGAATCGCAGTAACACCGCTGATACCCATCGGTCGTTGAAAGTAGGTATTATTTCTGGATTCCCGGATTCCATTCTACTTAAAGCGCCTTCTTATTTCAATGATCGAGTGGCTTCACCTTTTTTCCGTCCTCCTTAGGGGGCAGACGGAACCAAATCTACTTTCAACGCTGTCCTACTTCATGTTCATACCTACTTCCATGCGGGCGACACGCGGGCGCATACCAAAAACGTTGAACAGCCATCGCGCGCCCGCCGGTTGTGTCAAGTACCAAATTGTGGGTCCCACGCGCGCGTCTCCGCGCGCGCACGCGGGATTCCTCCCAAAACCGTGAAGTTTCTCGCCATCTCAATCCGGCTGCATTCAAAGATGCGACCGCCAACTTATGTTCAGCAGAAGCATTGCAGGCTTCGGAACTTCTGCGAGCGCGCACTTCCTCGTCACCCTCACCGGCACGGTCATCATCATTGTCGTCGGCCTCGTCACTGCCATCGTCTTGCTCTGCACGCGCGTGCGTCCTCATCATGCTCACCATCACCACGGTTATCGTCATCACCAGGTTCGCCCTTGCCACCGTCATCAGACACATCAACATCAGCTCCGTCGTGGTCGGCATCGTCGCCACCGTCGTCAGACACATCATAATCATCATCGCCGCTGTCGCCGCCAAGTTGAGATTTGCCAGGAAGTTGCGGGTGGGCGGATGGATGTTTGCGCGAGCATTGCAGGTTGTCTTGGGTGAACGCGGTCAAAGTAATTGCACCGCATGATTTGCACCACGTAGTGTACATCACTTCGCTCGTACAGTATGTGTTGTTTCGTACCACGTGCGTATGTACATGTGTATATGTACCAAGTTATTTCGTATCAAGTTTCGTTGTACCCGTGAATGTGTACTTGTGCATTTTCAGATACACATGTAATGACCCACATCAGTTAACCCACATAAGTTGTCCAGCTGTCTGCAGGAAGTCCCGCCGCCGTGCCGGCCCAGTATGTTTGGTGGCGACTGTTCAAGGGGGCACGGAAGGCCGTCACGTGTGACACCTCGTGTTCAAAGGTTTGGGATAGCAGAGATGATAATGATGATGAAGAAGATGATGGTGATGATGATGATGATGACGATGATGACGATGATGTTGATGCTGATGATGATCATCATCATCATCATGGTAATGTTGGTGATGATGATGGAGATGATGGTGGTCATTATGATGATGACGATGATGATGATGATGATGATGCTGATGATGATAATGATGACGATGACGATGATGATGATGATGATGATGATGATGATGATGATGGTGATGATGACCCCGACGGTGATAGCGATGGTGATAGTGACTGTAGTGATGAGGAGGAGGAATATGGGGATGAGGATGATGCGGGTGGTGATGCGAAGGGTGAAGAGGAAGACCAGGAAGAGGAGGAAGAGGAAGGCTGTCACAAGTGACACATTTCGTGTTCACTAGGGAGCCGTCTTCGGGCCCTCTTGGACCGTCTTGGAAACCCCTTGGGCCGTCTTGGGGCCCTCTTCGGGGCCTCTTCGGCCGTCTTGGTGTCCTCTTAGGGGGCCTCTTGGGCCGTATTGGAATGTCGGAAGCGCGAAAAGGCGAGGACCCCAACAAAACGGAACCACCTTCGGCAAGCCATTGTTTGTGTTGCTCCTCGAGGCCCTCTTGGACACGCGCTTGGGGCTCGCTTGCACGCCTCGAGGGCCTTTTGGGCCGTCCTGGGGCCATCTTGGGCCGTCTTGAGCTCGCAGTGGCCGTCTTGGAGCCATCTTGGGTTGTTTGGGATGTATTTCGGCTTCGGGAACGCGAGTTTGCTATGACTCACGAAGGGTTCTGGCCTCGGGAGTGCGAATTTGCCGTATGCTGCGAAGGGTTATGGCTCAGGGAGGGGGGGCGACGCATGCAATGAAGTGCTATCGGGAGAGCGGGTAGGGCCCATGAGACAATCGCAGAAGCCATACCAGACAACACCGGGCATCACTGCAAGCCTCGGCGTGCCAGGGGCACGGGGGCGGGTTACAGCGTCATCGCTGCATCATGCACATGTGCATTTATCTGGGCATACGTACGCATTGCAACCTATCGATGGCACCATGCACTAACTTCAGCACAGCAGGTCACATCGAAAGTGGAATAACCAGGTGTATGGGGTCCACGCCTGCGAACATGTTCTTCACGGTCGTTTGTTTTCCATTGAATCGCTTCGCTCATTCCGCCGGCCCGTGATATGGCATCGCTGGTTTTTGTCTGTGTGTTCGTTGCCCATGTTGCGCTCTTGGGGGCGGGTGTCGTTCGGACGCGTTGCGTGGGGAGTTTTGATGGTGAAGCAGTTCCCTGGGGGTCGTCTCTCGATGGGGCGAAATAGAGTCGTCGTCAAGATGCTTCTTTGGGGGGCCTCTTGGGGTCTGTTGAGAGGCCGTTCGGGGGCGCCTGGGAGACATGTTTGAAGCCTTCTGGGGCTTCTTTTGGGCCTCCTGGGAGTCTCCTGGGGCCTCTTGGCGACATCTTGGGGCCTCTTGGAGGCCTCTTGGGGCCTCTTTGGGACCTCCTGGGCGCCTTCTGGGACGGAGGGCTCCATTTTTGAGTTCTCGGTATCCCTCCTGAGTCCCTCTTGGGCCCGTCTTGGGGCCTCTTGGTCCGTCTTGGGCGGCACTTGGGCCGTCTTGAGGGCTCTCTTGGGTCGTTTCGGCGCCGTCTTGGGAGCTTCGTGGGCCGTCTTGGAGCGGTCTTGGGGGCCTCTTGGGCCGTCTTGGAGCGTCCGGAAGCCGAAAAAACCAGAACACAAAAAACATAGAAAAAACAATGAAAATCAACGATTTTGGCCTCTTGGGGCTCTCTTCGGAGGCCTCTTGGAAGGCTCTTGGGGCGTCTTGGAGGCCTCTTGGGCTGTCTTGGGGGCCTTTTGGGCCGTCTTGGGGTCATCTTCGGCGTCTTCGAGCGCTCTTTGGGCGTCTCGGGGGCCTCTTGGGCAGTCTTGGGGGCCTCTTGGGGCACTCTGAGCGCGCTCTGGGGAGCCTGAGAGGCCGCACCCAGAAGGAAAACCATCTCTGAGTAGACTTGGTCGGGCGGCGGTCGGGCGGCGGTCGGGCGGCGAGCGGGCGTTGGTCGGGGTACTTTTCGCCAGGGGACCCCCAGGGGCCGCCCCGCGCGCGCGAACTAGAAATACTGTTAATACTGTTAACCAGTTACCGGAGATCTTAGCACGCCCTGGCCCGTTGGGCCGGCGAATTATGTTTTTCTTTCCATCGGAGGGGGTGCTCGGCGCGAGCGTCAGTTCAGCAACTGCTCAGTGTGCGCGTTCGTGGAGCCGCGCACCGCTCTCTCGCCCCCCTATCTCACGGTTGCTTACACCAGCGGCCTTCTGCAACTCGCATCCCAGTCGGACCAGCGCTTTCATACTGTGCGCATCGATGGGGTCAACGGCAGACGAAGCCCATCGCCCCTGCAGAGGTCAGCTGGCCTTCTGTCAGGAGAGGCTTCGGAAGTACGGTCCATGTGCTACCGAGATCTGAGTTCTGAGGCGGTGATTTATACATAGCCACCGCCTGGAGGGTCGATTTCGGAGATCTCGACGGGCGGTGGATATGGATATATCTGGGACCCCAGGGGCCGAAATATGTCCATATCCACCGCCCGCTGGGGCACCAGGGCGTCGGTTCCAAGGCGGTGGATATGGATAAATCCCACCTCGCAAGAGTAGGCATGGGTTCGGGCTAGGTTTTTCCGTGACGGCGGCTAGATGGCCGGAGTCACCATTCTTGCCCGAAGATTATGTGTCTCGACGGCGTTGATTTGTCAAGCCATCAACCCAGCTAAATAGTGCACCGCCCCGCGGAAGGCACGGTTTCTCTTTAAACGGCCTTATTTCTTCCAGGTCAGCTGGGCTTGCAGCCCCCAGGGTTGTTTGGCACCCACGAGTAAATTCGGACCCCCATTGCCACGAAGTAACAGCGCTCTTCCAGTTGGTGTCATTCAGAAGCTTTCCAAATTGTGGATCGAGGAGGACCTTAGGAGGACGCACGCGCATGTTGGCTGGAAATTGCCCACAGGTATCTGCATGCAGCACGCCCCCGCTCCCTGTCCGAAGCCATGATGTACTACTTAGTCCCCCCCAGTTGCGGATACATGAGTTAGGATGACTGGGTCGCGGGCGGGTCGCAGGCGGGAACGACGACAACAACAACGCAACGCAAGAAGCATAATCCACGCCGCGGAATCACACTGCAGCCATGCACCCAGGGATGGTGTAAGATCGCTCGGCCCCCTTATTCTGATATGAACTTCTCCATGCCAGGTCGGTTTGTGTAGCGCTCCTGTTTTGCCTGGCGACCGTCGTGATAGCAGCGGTGCGTCGAGATCGGCCATGCCGCCTCTTACCAAACTCATGTTATCACAAAAGCATGCATGAGCAGGGCGTAGGCTGCACGAGCAAGCCAAACCGTGATTGCAGCGTGTACTCTTTGTCGCACAACATTGTCCATCGCTATCTGGGTTGTGTGATGTCAGTTGGTAGGGGTTGTATTGCTTTCTGGAACGCAGATGCTTTTTCGTAGTTGTCAGTGGCAGTTGCCCTCATCATTTCCCCACATCTTTCCTTTTCGTATGGGCGAAGGTGGCTTGACCCAGATTTGATCACCTTCAACTCTTCCATCAGCGCATGTGGCAAGGCAATCCGCTGCGAACACGACAGTTAGTGGAATGCAGGACACGTCGGGTATTGGACGTGTGGATATGAAGGGTAGGTATTGTTTGCGGAAGGAACGGTTTTTGCTTAAACTTGGAAAGATTATGCCGTCAAAGCCGAGCATGCGGCTGTTACATTGCCGCAAGTTCCGCCAGCTCTGCTCCCTCGTCTTTCATGCGCTACGTGTCCTTCGTCCTGCGTCCTGCGTGCGTGTCCTTCGTCCTTCGTGCGTATCCCTTGCCCTGCTCCGCCTGACAGTTGAGCCTGTCCTCTGTGCGCTGCACTGCCGCTCCTGACTTTCTCTACCGATGCATCCTCGGAGCCACGGTCTCGAGGAGGAGGAGGAGGAGGAGGAAGGAGGAGGAAGGAGGAGGAGGATGACGACGACGATCAGGAAGAAGGAGAAGAAGCGGAGCAGAAGGATGAGTCCTTGCCCGTCATGGGGTTCGCATGCATGGTCCGGGTTGGGAGCGTTGATGGGCGCTCAGGCGCTGACCGTTCGCGAGCAGTGCGAGGATGATGGTAGTGAAGGCGGGGGGGAGGAGGAGGAGTAGAAGGAAGAGAAGTTTGAAGACGAGGAAATGGGGGGGAGGGGGGGGGAATGCGGATGGCTCAGGTCGGCAAAAGATGAGGATTAGGAGGAGAGGGAGGAAGATGCGTTATAGCACGAGGTGGTAAGGTGTATAATGTGGATGGGAGTGGAGAATTGCGCATGCTGGTGAGCACTGTGATCCAGCAGCAGACTGAAGATAATGAGGAAGGGCAGGATGATGAGGAGGGAGGAGGAAGTGGGAGAGCGGTGTTGGTAGATCTGCGGAGAGGCACGAGAAGGCGGAGGAGGGCGGGAAGGATGACGAGGAGAACGGCGGCTGTATGTAGGAGGGGCAGATGGGCGGGGACGGAAAAAGGACGGGCAGGAGGAGAAGGAGGTGGAGGAGGAGGAGAAAAGGAAGGATGGGAAGCAACATGAGGCATACACAAATTCACCCTTATCCCCCTTCAACAAGCAATGGACCACCGGATGCGGGCGCCACTCCGATTATCCTCAGCAACAGAGAAGAGTACAATGCGGATGACTAGAAAGAGCTCTAAGCGGAATGCAGCGCGAAGGACACGGACGGTGCGGCCTTAGCCCACAAGCGGTACCCGCAAGTCTTAGGTCACAACGCTGGCTTCAGGACGACTGGTAGACCAGGGTCGGAGTCGGATTGCATAATTCAGATGCGGCAAGGATGGAGGCCGGATCGCAATGTAGCGCAGGACCGAGAGTAGAAAACGTCGACGTGCGAGACCAAAGTCCCAAGTCGTCAATCGGTAGAACCGCCGTGAACAGGACAACCCGCTCGTCAATCAAAGATCTGCGTGGGTGTCCGCAGTGCCAGCAGCGGTGCGGTCGAGGTGACTAAGTACACAACGTGGTCGGAAGGACGGAGCGAATCACGGTCAGAGCCGTTGTGAGTGTGGAGTGTGAGTCAGGGGCCAATGAACATAATGCCAATTTGGAGTTTCTGAAGGAGAGATCTCTAGGTGCAATCTGGTGGCAGCCAAGGGCAAGAAGAGCCGAAGAGCACGAACACAAGGGCGAGGTCAAGTGGCACGGCGAGGACACGCACACGCACACACACACACACACCTACACATACACTCAGAGACGCACACTTGGCCAGCGAAGCGCGGATGCTGTTTCAATTCGTGCGCAGCTATTGGCGCTCGCCGCGGATAAGTTTGGCGACACACTGGCTAAGCATTAATCGACGCATGCAGAGAACATATTGCCCCCGTGGTTGTTGATCACGTCGCCCGCAATGCAGGACAGTGCGAAGACCGTCGCCCACCATCATAGTAATTGAATTGTTTCCCGACCGTGGAGCTCGGATAACAGTTCGACGATAGACATGCAGAAGATAGAGAACCGGTAAGGCAGGCACCCTTCTGCAATAACACAATTACTGCAGCCGACATGACGGCACATACACACACACACACACACACACGCGTACACACGCCTCTCGCCACGAATATCCTCCCCCACACACCAAATCACACACACACACACATATTCTTGTGCGAGTAGGGCGCCCCGCGGCTGAGGGTAGAGGGGGTGAAGGGGAGAAGGGAAGGAGGTGCACCTGATGACCCACCGAATCAGGCGGCCCGGGTAGGCCTGCAGGCGCGCGCGCATTGTCGCCCACCGGGCGTCCGCGCCGCCACCGGCGCGCACCGCAGGCGCCAGCAGCAGCATGGCTGCCCGCGGGAGCGGTGCCGCTGCGCCCACCGCGCAGCCGAAGCGCCGCACCGCAGGCACGCCACCCAGTCGGGGCCCTGCGCCGGCGCGCACAATCGCCACGCGGCGCCTGCGACGAGGGCTCTAATCGCCTCTGCTGGCGCGGGCGGCGCGAGGACCCCGCTTGCCTCCATCGCTGCCCGTGTCCTCCAGTGCCGCGGCAGAAGGGGGCGGGCGCCGCGGGCGCTGTGGGCGGAGGCCACGCTCTGGCGGCGCGGGGTCCGCGCTCGGCAATCCAGCGGCGGCGCATGCGCGGGCCGTCCAGCACAGGGTTCCCGTGGCTGGCGCGGAAGACCGCCATATCAACCGCCGCGAGAAGGCGCCGTATGTGGCCGGCGCCGTCAGCTGGCAGTCGCGGTCCAGGCAGAGCGCGGGGGGGGGAGACGGACTCTGGCCGCTGTGCCCGCCAACCAGTCGGCAGCCGCGTTGCCCGCCCAGTTCTCCTCGGACAAGCCCCGGGCGAGCGCTTCCTCGGCCGTTGTTTGGGCTTTGACCCATCGTGCCGTGAGGAACCCGCTCTGGCTCTGCTCCGCGATGCGCTTCCATAGATCGGAATGCGTCGAGGTTGCTTGGACCGCGGCGGTCACCTCAGCCCGCTGCGCTGTCTGCGCCACGTCCTCAGTCCTGCTCTGGTCGCTCGAGCTGCGGGGCTCGTACAGACGCATCCACCAAGCCAAAGTAGTCGGCACTGCGTTACCTACCAGAAACTACAGGCTCATTTCATTACGTTCTGTTGGATACAAGATTTTGGCGGCACGGGTACATCAGAGGCTATTCCATGGTGGTTCTGGACAACTCACGCGTGCTTGTCGGTACGGATTTCACCCAGGATGTGGAACAACATATCCTCAGGCGTATGATTCTTGTTGTGCATGCAGGCGCGGGTGGAGGGCTTGCAGTAGTGATGCTGGACTGGACCAGATCCTTTGATTGGTTAAATCCAGATTCAATGTGCAACGCCTAGGAACAATTCGGGCTCCCTGCCCGGCTCGTGGAGGTGGTGTGCTCTATTTGTTCGGCCCGCTTCTTCGTTCTCCAGGAGCACACTGGTACCTCGACCGAGAGACGGCAGAACGCCAGAATCGCAAGGGGGTGTCCGCTTTCTCCGTGCTTGTTCATAGCAGTCCAGTCCGTAAGCCTGCAAGAAGAATATGGATTCGTGGTGCTCCGGGATGTTTTCTACACCGGCGACACACTCTTTGTATCCCAGCACCCAATCCAACCTCCAGAACGTGTTGAACGCGATCGCGGAGGAGGGCCGCAACGATTACGACGCCGAGTGGTTCTGATATAACGACATGTTGGATTGTTGTGTATTTGCGAAGATGAATAACGCGCGGTAGGAACGCGTCCGCCGAGCTATGCGGAAAACTCGGAGAAGCAAGCAACAATTTCTAGCAGTTGAGCGAGCATTGGTCGCACGCATCTCTTGGATGGAGACGAGAACGTCAGTTCTACGAAAGCGTCATTTTGAGCAAGGTATGGTAAAAATTGGGTTCTTTCCGGTGTTGCGAAAGCAGACGGATGCCGTCCCGGTGTTGTCAATTACCAACGTTCGCGACGCATTCTAGAAATCCCAAACTCTTTCATTTCACGGGTCAGCAACGCAAGAGTTTTCGGACAACGCTCAAGTGTTGCAGTTTGGTTGGGCACGTTTTGGGTAGTTTGTATCCTCCAAGAGGAGGGCGGGGGGGAGGAAAGGGATGAGCTTCGAGGGGGCTCTGAGGAATCCTTTTCATTTTCTTCCTCCTGGAGGATGAGGAGGGAGGGAGGGATCCCCCCCGCGCCCCCATCCGCCACGAGGAGGAAGGAACATGATTGTCCTCCCCCCCCTCCTTATCACCCCCGTCAACCATCCCCAAGGATGAATCGGAGGGAGGAGCGGGAGGGTGTTCTTATGTTTTGGGGGTTACAGGTGTGGGGGGGGGAGGAAGAAAGAGAAGCAACATCTGTAGCAGGCATGGGGCGGCGGGGAAAGAGCGAAGGCCTCGCAGTGGCGCTGGGGCCTCCAGCTGCTGGGTTCCATCCGGGCCGGCCCCGGCGCTGGGGCGACCCACGGTCGGTGGGATCATCCTCGTCGTCACCGCTGTCGTGGTGCCCGTCGTGTGGTGGTCATCGTCCTCGTCATCGTGGTCGCAGTCCTTGTCGTCGAGGTCGTGGTCGTCGTCGTCGTCGTCGTCGCCGCCGCCGCCGCCGGCGTCGTCGTCGTCGTCGTCGTCGTCGTCGTCGTCGTCATCGTCATTGTCGTCGTCGCCATGCTGTCGTTATCGCGTCCGTGGGCGTCGTATCGTGGCTGTGAACGTCGTTGTCGTCGTCGTCGTCGAAGGAGGAGGAGGAGGATCAGGCGGATGAGCCGGAGGGAAGGGATACTTTGGATCTCGAAGATGGAAGGATATATGATAGCAGGAGGGGGGAGCATGGGGGAAAGGAAAAGGACAAGGAATACGATCATGAGAACGATGATGCGGAAACGAGGATAGAGCAGGGGAAAGAAGAGGAGGAATAATTGATGGACGGAAAAAGAGGAGAGAGGAGGGGAGAAAGGAAGGGAAAGAAGGAACCAAGAGAAAGCAGCAAGAGGAGGAAATGAGGTTGCATGGGGAAGAGAGTGTATGAGCAGGAAGAAGAGGAGGGGAATATTGGGCAAGAGGGAAAGGTGGAGGAGAAGGATTAGGAGTAAGACGCGGATACTTGAGACGAGGGGGGAGACGAAGGAAGCGGAGATGGGAGGAGGAATTGGAGATCAGAGAGGATGGAATAGTCCGTCCAGGTTACAGATTGGAATCAGGGAGCTATTTCGCGGCAGTCGGAGGCCTTCCTCCACCGTCTCCCCCATCCACCTAATCCTCCCTCATCCTCCTCAGCGTGAATACTACGGTTGCTGTTGTTGCTGCTTCTGCTGCTGCTGCCGCTCCTGCAATTTCTAGTCCTCCTGCTTTCATGACAGCTACCAGACTGCTGCTGATAGTGCGACCGCCGCCATCACCGACAACACCACTACCACCATCACGGTCACGATCGCTCACCCCAACAACCCCTGGCACTACAGTGGAGGCCCATGCCAAGAAACACCATGCTTGCCTGCAGGGTGCCCTGGGTTTCTTGGGTTCCGATGGTTTTGCGACGGAGAGCGCATCGTTCCCACGCCGAAGATCAATGGACGTCCTGGGTTCTTGTGGAAGTTTTTTTTGTGGTCGGGCCCCCACTGTACCACTGCCACCGCTGTTGATATTCCCGCCGACGACCACTGCCACCTCCACTGCTGCTCCCGAGGGCTCTCCTTCGACCCTCGGCCCGTCGGGAGCCTCACCGGACGTGGGTCGCCGACGGCCAGAGCCAGCCGGGCCCGTGCGGCAGAACTGGCGCGACCCCGACCGCGTCACGCACGCCACGCTGCTGGCGGGAATGCTGCGGGGGCAGGACGCGGCCGCCCACTGCGAGCGGGGGGCGCCTCTTTGATGACGGGGCACATGTGCGAGTATGGTGCCCAGTGAGGTGTGATTTCTTGACGTCTTCGTGGGGCCCGTCTGAACACCAGCAGTGGCCGATAGACGTACACGCGGCGTGTGACCTCCTGGGAAATCTGAGTCCTGGTTTCGACGGCGGCCCAGCGAAGCGCCTTCAGGTGCGTGTTATAACAGTGATTGCCGCCGCGCGTATGTCCAGCAGCTCAACCCGGAACGCTTCCCACGCGAGTTTTTCTTTGCGAGGAAAAGTGAAGGAGCACCAATGAACACATCAGGAAGCGTGGATCAAATCACAGACAGGACCATCCCAAGCTTCCCATAATCATTAACACTGAGATGTCAGGTAGCCCCTCGGGGGCCTTTTGAAGCCATCTTTGGGCTCTTCCTCAGGAGTTGTTGAGGCCATCTTGCGATTCCCTTGGGGTCCTTTTTTAGAAATAGGCCGGGCCGCTTAATGCCACGCCCACGCCCATCGACCAAGGAGAGGGGAGGCTGTCACAACCCGATGTGGAGTCCGAGGAAGGCGAGAATGCGACCATAGTATAGAACGCTCTATTCCGAAACAGTGCTAGGAACTTGGCTCGTTTGTTGGGTCCGCCGCCTTGTTGCCGCCGTCGCCGCCCCGTCGCCGCCCGTCGTCTGTTTTTTTTGTCTGGTCCGCCGCCTGGTTGCCGCCGTCGCCGCCCCGTCGCCGCCCCGTCGCCGCCTCGTCGCCGCCCGTCGTCTGGGCTCGTCCGTCGGGTCCGCCGCCTTGCTGCCGCTGGTGCTGCCCCGTCGCCACGTTTATCTTGTGTTCCAAAAGAAATGACGATCCACCTACCCATTCCCCGGTCTTCGCGCTACCTTTTGGGATGGTACAGTTTACATGCGAGTCTGCCCAATCGTTCATCCTAAAACTGTACTCGCACCGTCCCAGACAAGCCGGTTTCCGCCCCGGTCATCCCTGTCAAATGATGTTTCGCGCGCTCTTCGTTCATCTACATTCTAAAGCTGTCAAGAACCCGTTGAAACATATGTGACAACGTTCACACGCGCGCGGCGTCGCGCACGCAGGCCGATTTTTCTCAAAAGCCCGATGTGCCGTAAGAGTTTCGCGATCGAGGTCTACGAACAAGTATAATAAACGATGGTACTGTTGTTCGAATGTTCCAAACAGTCTGCGCGCGCCCTGGCGAATTCTTACGAAAACCATTCGCTTTCCAACAGTGTTAACACATTCGACCAAACGGGCCTTTTCGCGCGCGCATGTCGAAATCATGCGATCGCCCAAGCGCGCGTGCTGTGGGGGAGGGGGGCACGGTCCCTGTCAAATACTACCCTGCGAGCTTGCGCCCGTCGGCCGCGCGCGCATGTCGAAATTCTTCCTCATTTTTTTACCGCCGGCACGTGGACACCATTATCGTTACCCGCGTGATCAGCATCGCTGCCGTCCATTGGCTTCGCCGTCGTCATCGTCATCATCGTCGCCAGCATCGTTTCTATCCCCATCGTGTCTGTCGTTGCCGACGTCGCCATGATACCGCGCCCGCCCAACTAACCGACTCGCACTGCTGCGCCCGCGGGCCAGCGCGGATTCCCGGGGCGCATTGGGAACCCCACAGCGGTCAGCGCCACCGCGGCCGCGGCGGTCGCGCCAGAGTACCTGGCCGCTGTGCGCTCGAGACTGCGCGCGCTAGCGCGGCCGCAGCGATGCGCCAGCCAGCTCCGAGCAACCACCCCAACCGCCGCCGCATGAGCATTGCAAATCAAGTTGCGGCTGGGGGTGGGTGGGATCACAGCGCGAAGATTGGATTCTACATGCGCGCAAGGGCATTCGAATGATGTCGACATGCGCGCGCGGGGGGCACGTTTGGTCGCTTGCCCTGAAAATGTGAAAATCCGACGGTCGCCGCAAGGATTCGCAAGAGCGCTCGCAGGCTTGACCTGCTGATGCGAAACCGCTGGTTCTTTATCGAAGACGCCTACGGCGAATCACCGCCGCCCCCTGCCTTTTTGGAAACGCCGATGTGGCCGAAAGTTGGACTAGAGCTTGGCCAAGCTATCGGACCATGAGTTCCCCGAGTCGGTTTGGAAAGCTTTCGGGGAACACATGGGAGAGAATGATTGTGAACAGGAAGAGGAAGAGGAAGAAATAGAGTAGGAGGATGAGGGTTGTTAGGAGTCTCTTGGGGCACCCTTGGGGTCTGTTGGGAGCTTCTTGGGGGCCTCTTCGAGGCCTCTTGGAGGCATCTTGGGGGCCTCCTTGGGCCTCTTGGGGGCCTTTGGGGGCTTCCTGGGGGTCTCTTTGGCCGTCTTAGGGCGTTCCTGGTCCGTCTGACGCCGTCTGGAGCCGTCTTGGGGGCCTCTCTGGGCCGTCTTGGGGCCCTCTTGGGGCGCTTCAGGGCCGTCTTGGAGGCCATGTTGGGCGTCTTGGAGGCCTCTTGGGCCGTCTTGGGGCGCTCTTGGGGCCGTCTTGGGGGGCCCTTGGGCCGTCATAGGGCCTTCTTGGAGGCCTCTTGGGCGATCTTGGGGGCCTCTTGGGCCGTCGGAAGGCCGAAAAGAAGAAAACGCAAAAAACCTTCAAAAACCTAAGGAAAACCAATGATTTTGGCCTCTTCGGGCTCTCCTGGAGAACGTCTTGGAGGCCTCGTGGGCCATCTTGGAGGCATCTTGGGGCCATCTTGGCCGTCTTGGAGGGCATCTTGGGCCGTCTTGGAGGCATCTTGGAGCCATCTTACCCGTCTTGGAGGCCATCGTGGCCGTCTTGGAAGCATCTTGGAGGCCATCTTGGGCCATCTTGGCCGTCTTGGAGGCCATCTTGGGCCAAGTTGGGGCAACAAAGGCATTGACAGACGGATTTTCGGAAATTTACGGGTGGCCGGCGGGACGGGCCGAAGCCCACTGGGGAGTTCTTTTAGAAAAAGAACCAAAACCAAAACTGAATCATCCAGCACGCCGTGCACCCCTGCAAGCAGGGGGCGGATTGTTAGTGACCTGGGTTGCGGTTGCGAGTTCTCAGGGGTGCTTCCCTGGGTTTCTTCGCGTTTTCGGGGGCCTGTTGGGGGCATTTCTATTTTTTTGAAGCCTCGCGGGGGCATCTTGGGGACCACCTGTTGCCATTCGCGGGTTTTTCGGGGCCTCTTGGAGGCCTTTCGGGGCCTCCTGGGGGCCCCGCGGTGCCGAAGGTTCGACATGTTCGCTCGGGCCTCCCATTTGGGCCCCCTCCCGGAGCCGCCTTTTGAGGCCTTCCAGTCTGTCTCGGGCACCTCGCGGGCCGTCTTGGACCCCTCTTGGGCCGTCTTTGTGCCCTCTCGGGCCCCTCTCGGGCCGCCTCGGGGCGATCCGCGACGCCGGCGGGCGCGGCGCCGCGGCGGCGTCGGCCGCGGCAGACGCGATTTACGATGGCAGCGGCGTTGGTTGCGATGGTGACGACGACGACGACGACGACGACGACGACGACGACGACGACGACGACGGCGACGGCGACGGCGACGGCCAGGCCAGGCCGACGGCGGCGCCGACGCTGATCGCGCCGATGATGATGATGATGATGATGATGATGATGATGATGATGATGATGATGATGATGATGATGATGATGATAATGTTCTCACGTCGGCGGCGGAGTTCCCGGGGCGACTTTGACGGGCGTGCGTGGCCGACGCGCGGGAGTGGCCCGCGCGCTGATATTGGATAAGGATTGTGCCCCCGCAGCAGGCGCGCAAGGGTGTTCGAATGACTCCGGCGCGCGCGTCTGAGAGGCCCACTTGGTCGCGCGCGAGGGAAATGCTGCATCGCTTGAAGATTTCGTGCGATTTCGCGGAAACGCGCGAGCAGATTCGGGGGAAATATTAAATTGAAAAAGCCATCGGCTTTTGATATGCGATCGGGGCATTTGTCGTTGAAAACCTGGCGGGTCCTCGGTTTTCAAAGGATTTCGGCTTGCGCGCGCGACGTCGCGCGCGCGGGTTTCTCGCAATTTTTCGCAAACGGACTTTCGCAGCGCAGTGATTTATGCTATGCGAGTTCGCGCGCGCGTATGTTTTTGGCAAGGGATGGCGGGGCCAGTCGACGCCGGCCTGCGCGGGGCGATATGGGGCCAGATGGACGCGTGGATTGCAGCGCGGACAGGCGAGCGGATAATCCGGGGTCGTGGGGTAGGCTTTGATTTTTGTTAAGAGAGGAGAACCTATGTTGCGTAAGCTATATGGTGCATTCTAAGAGGTGCTCCTGTATGTTCGCAGTGTTGGGTCGACTCCAGCGCTCGCGCAATCGCCCCGCCCGCCCGCCCGCAAGTTGGTGTGCGCGAGCCTATGCGGCAGCGATTGCGATGAGTGCTCGGCGTTGGCGGGCGCACCTTCGCGGCCGCGCTAGACCTCGCATGCTCGCGCGCGCGGCGGCCAGCTAGTTCGGCGCGACCGACGCGGCCGCGATGGCTCTGACCTTCGGACGCTTCCCAGCGGGCACTTCAATGCGAGTCGGCGGCTTGGGCGGGCGCGCAGTCGCGGCAACGTCGGCGACGGTGGATGCGAGGGCGACGGCGGCGACGTTGGTCACGATGGCGACAATGACGACGGCAAGGCCAGCGGCGGCGGCGATGCTGACCCCGCCGGCGACGACGACGGCGCCCTCGCGTCGGCAATGAAGGATTTGGATTGACTTCGACGCACGCGCGCGGCCGGCGCGCGAGAGCGGCCCGCGCGGCAGCGTTTGATTCGGATCGCGCCCCCCCCCCCCCCCCCCTCGCGCGCGCAATGGTGCTCGAAGGATTTCGGAATGCGGCGCGAGAGGCCCGTCCGTCAGAATTGAATCGCCGCGTTGAACAACGTGCGCTTTTCGCAAGAATTTGCAAGAGCGCGGGCGCATGTGTTTTTGGTTGAAAATTGACGTGCGAAGCCACGTGCGTTCATGCTTCATCGTGGCACTCGGTTTTGACATCTTGACGAAGCCATCGGTTCCTGGGGGAATTTGGGC